AAATTGATGAACAATTCTAGCGATGTCAGACAATTAAATCTAGGTCCATAGTTAAAACTTCTTTGTGATCACCAGAGGACCGGTATTTTCTGGATTGAAACTCAAGGCAAAACTTTGGTAGCAGTCTGAAGACAAGCATATCCTTGTGCTGGAACAACCTCCCAGTCAGTTGAGGGGAGTTGGGGCAGGAATCCATCTGAAACAAACAGGTGTTGAAATGCAGGCATCCCTAGATTGGTATCTGTGCTCACACTGTAGTCAGTACAATCCTTTTTTCTCAATACATAGCTCACCCTTTGACATGGTTGTGGTCAACCCATGCAGAGCATCCCTCCTGATAAAGACACCAGTTGCCATTCTAGTAATGGAGCAGTAATTGATGGGTCACCAGGACTGTGTGCATCCCATACCACTTCTGCCAGCCTCATGCAGATGTTTTGGTTACTACAAGGCATCTAAGATTAGATGCAAAAAAATCTAGAGGAATTTTCAACTGATGAAAAAGCAAGAGTCCACTTTAGGCGGAGTGCTAGAAGGTGAAAATTTATTTTTCTTTTTAATAAATTTAACCCTGTTAATCCTTTCAGTAATTCTGGAGGACAAGATTTGTGCTCCCAAATGCTGCCGCTGGCCACTGTATGAGACACCCCATAGTATTCAAAATGTTAGCTTATAAACTGCAGATAAGACACAGGACTTTGGGAAGACCTTTGCAGTTTCCAAGTGGGTTTGATGATACAGGTTTTAAACTGTATTCGTCTAAATACAGTTTTCTTTCTACTATCCCCTGAGATACCCTAGCTTATATCACCTGGCCTCCATCTCTAGGGGTCATATGTGTCCCAGAGTTCCTGTAATGTTTCTACCAGCCATGAGGATTTTTTGCATGCATTAGAATATCACAAATAGCACTGAGCACTTACATTTAGTCAACTAAACCAATGGAGACCACTTCTAAAAAACAAATGGCACAACAGATGGAGGTGTAGGCAGCAAGAAGTGTAAAGGCTCTTTTTTGGACCACTGGATTTGGACCAGCAAAAAAAAGGCTTTATGTTAAACTACAACTGCTCAGTTCACCTCAAATAATTAGTAGGTACAATTTAGATTGCTCTTTTCAATCTCATTTTAGAAACAATCATTTCAAGATGATGGCACAGAAGATAGGACCAGTTTCATTCATGGGAGCTACATGCTATTTGAAGTGCCAGTCACAGGTATGCAATAGATATGCCCCATCTCTACCTCTTTCCATGCTCTTATCTTCAGTAAATGTCAAAATATGGTAATTCATATCTGTGAGTAGTTTTTTGCAAATTATTTGAACAGGTTTTAAAATTATTTTAACTCATGCTTAGAATACTGCAACTGTACAATGCTTCTGTTTGTGAAACTGCTTAAGTAGTAAGAAACTAAACATATATGTGCATGCCCAGAGCTTTGCAAACTGTACAGCTACCAGTAATTGTCAGAAAAAAAAAGAAATAAAAAAGTTAATGCATTTGTATTCTGGAAAAATTAAAAAAGAGTTTTCTTCTTTTTCCTATATTTTTGTACCATCAATCTCCTGAGGGACTGGGATTTTTTTTTCCTTCTTATACTAAGATTATTTTTCAGTGTTAATGCATCACAGCAAAGAAATTCATTATTAGATTAGTGGTAGTTGATATGGAAAAGAAAGAATATATATTATTCATCTCTTTTGTAAGATAGAGAAGTAGAGGTAGTAGAGAGGCAACAAATGGAAAAGACATGACTGGCTAGAACACACACAAAACAATACAAAAGTCATCATTTTTCCTCTTACTTAAAAGGTGTAGCATGGCATTAGGATTGTGATAATACTTTATAATCTAAACTTCCATGAAGTACTTTAATATGCAACAGAAAAATAAAGTAATTTTACAATATTTTAAATGTATCTTCATAAACTCACATACCTCAGCATAAATGTAACAGATGTTTACTTATTCTAAATATATGGAATATATGTTACTTTCAGAGTAGAAGGATAGGTGATGAAGGACAGGTTTTGCTGAGTTCAGTGCTTGAAATCTAACTAACCCATCAAAGGATAGGTGATGAAGGACAGGTTTTGCTGAGTTCAGTGCTTGAAATCTAACTAACCCATCAAAATGCTCTATTTATAGTAGGTAGATTTTACCTTTACAATTACAACATTGAAGGGTCATTCTTCCTGAAGTCCAAATTAGAAGAAAACCCAAAAATTTTCAGGTATCTCTCATAATTCTCAACTAATATTTTTAGGCCATGATATGCAAGAGCAAAAAGTCTTTCCCACTGTGCCTTTGGCCTTCCTTAGAAATTATCTTATGTAAGATCATGTAAGACACTGAAGCTAAGGCTTCACATGTGGATAATTTTGCGGGTGTCTTCTAAGTTAGATAAAGAGTTGCTTCTTAAGTCTCCAGACTTTAGCCATTGAAAACTTTCAATGTTATCAAAGCCCAGGAAATTTATCTTAAAAGCCCCTTCACCTCAGATTCACTTCCTTTCTCATTTAAACACAGACATATTTAACTTATTTTCAGGCCATCACACTGGCTCCAGTGCTGGTGTTAATAGTCATTAGTCCCAAGTGGTTCCATAATCTACAGCATCAGTCGTGCCTCTGACTTTATACAGCTTCAGAAGGTTTTACTGTAGCCTGCTTGTTTTCAGAAGAGGAAAAGGACTCCCACTCTGACTCACACACATTTCATTGGGAATTATTCCACTGAGGTCAAGGGGAAAGGTGTCTCTTTCAAAGATACAGTGCCTGCTCTAAGAAAAACATGGATAATTCTTTGAGGGTGTATGCTTATATTTTTCAGTTTTACACATGGAAGTTAGTATGACATGCAATTGAAAACATAAATAATTAATGTATTATTGGCACACAAATTAGATGTAGTATCTTCAGTTGTTGGCTCACGTTGGTGGAAACAGCAGGGTGGCATATTTTTCATGTGGTTTAAAATCCAAGCTGCTTGAAACATTACTGAGCACCAAGCAAAGTAGTAACTTAAGTCCATTAGGATTCCTAAGAATTTCCTTCTTGGATTGTACCTAGGACTAGCCAACTAAAACTACAGTATTTTACTCATCCTTCTGGAATTAGTAGATTTGTAGGCTTTCTGATGTGCTCCTTTCCATACTATCTGACAAATAACCAATTCATTGCTGTAACACAGATATTCCCCTTTAGCAAACACACTAGTGATGTTCAGAGTGGCTTAACTTCCATAGGAGGTCAGTAACAGGACCTGACTGCAAAGTTAGATCTTCTCTGGCTTAGACTTGTGTCTGAACAACTCCTGTTTAATTTCTTGATGACTATCATTAGCAGAAAAATTTTCCCTTGTAGTGGTGAAATAAACCCAAAGGACACACTCATGATTTCTCTGGATTCTTCAAACCTTGTAAATATTTTCAGTATCAAGGGCCTGAGAAAGCAGACTGAGTCCAGCTCCATGGCACAAAAGTGGCAAGCCACCTGTGAACATCATAAGCTTCAGAGGTTCAGTTTGAAGACCTACCAAAAAGTTCAAATACTTGTACAGAGCTTATCCAAACTATCTGAAACCTCAAGAATGCAGACATGGGCCTCTTGAGAACAGATATTTTAGTTCAATTTTCATTAGTTCCTGTTTCCTTTTATGCCAGAAATGCAACAAAACCTGCCTTTGTTTTGAGTTTGGATTGTTTTTTGTTTGGGTGTTTTGGGTTTTTTCTTCATTTCGAGAGGTCTGGGTGGAGCCAGAAGCATCACTCAGAAGCACAGATTTACACTGAAGTAAAGTGCAGTGGGGGCTTTCTAAACTCATCGAGGTTTGGTTTGAATTTCCAAGAGTGTGCAAGCGCTTGTGCATGCACACATATGTGTGTAACTTATTTTTCAGTCTATTCTTGCTGCCTCATTCAGAAGGGATACTATTACAATTAATTCCCCCACAGCCCCCAGAGATGAGAAAGTAGCCACCTGGCACCTCAACATGCTGCTATTTGAACATTTTTCATTAACACCCAAGAACCCAGCCAACTCAGAAATTGCTTTCAAGACTTGGTTGCCTCCACGACTGAAGGAAATTGCAGCTACCCAGCAGGCTCAGTATGCTGCTCACTCAGCTGCCTGTCTGGGAGGGAAAGCTGCTGCATGTTTAGGGAGCAATTGCCGATGCAGTTGTTATCTCTGCTATCTCCAAGTCATACACTTTAAAGAGCCACCGAATTGGCATCATCCATTCACGCTACGTGTGTCAGGACAGGGCTCCATGGGAAGGCCTGCAATGATTGATGGAAGTAGGACCAGTGCATTACCTTTTCAGTGCATTGAGAGGGTGGGATTGCAAAATTATATCCTCTGCACAAAGCACTGTTGAACAGTGTTGAATAATTATACAGAAGATAACAGGGCTTTATTTTTCTTGGCTTACTCTAATATTTTTGGTGTTTGTTCTCCTGTTGTTTCCTTCAAAATAAAGGCTGACTTTAAAAAAAAAAAAAAAATCTAGAAAGAATTCCTACCTTTGGGTACTAAGATTCTCGAGAACCAAGGTTCAGAATCTATTTTAGCTTCTGCAATCCACAGGAAAAAAGAGAACGAAAATTCCTCTTCATGCTTTGCAGCAAAGAAAGCCCAAGAGGTATCCGATTACCTATGACTTTTGAGAGTATTGCCCATAGATATGTGACTAGTAAATTGGCACCATAATGTTATACTACTTTCTTACATTTTTTTCTTGTTTTCAATAAAATTATTCAGCAAATGTCACAACCTTTAAACCCTTTACAACTTTCAAGGGCATATGAATATGAAAAAATAAGCGCAGGAAAAGTTTTTAAAATTTCTATTGTTCTGTTCAATAGATGTACAGAGCAACCTTTCTCAGATTTTTCTAAATATAGCTGGTTTTAATCACAAATTTTGAACCTAATAGCCTTAACACATTGTACAAAAATATTTGCTCAGGTTCATTGTTCACAAGCATTTTCCTTTCACCCCTCCTTCCTCCTGCCCCATACTTTCTCTCCTTAACTAAACACATAGGAAATTAACGAAGTCTATGACCTAACAAGTGGCAATTCATAAATTCATTAGATTAAAAAAGACTAGTAACATAGCAATTCCTTTAATAGGTTTCCTTCCAATCTCCAATTTACATTTCTGTCTGCCCTGGCAAAGATATTACTTCGTTAAGACTTTTTTTTTCTTCCCCTAAATTAGAGAAATGTTAATGACTTCTCTTATTTATTGCTTCCATATGCAAGTAGTTATCTTTCTTGCAAATGGAAATGAGACCCAAAATTGCAACAAATGGGGCCAAGCCGCTGAGTGCATATGTTCCCTTTTGGAGAAAGTACATATGCCTGATCGAATTAACTTTAACCTCTCTGTCCATTGAACAGACATCCTCTAATGTGGGGGCTTTTAAAACTGTTCTCGTTAAATTTATTTTGAATCGCTGAGAACACTCTATCACAGTTTCAGCAAATAACCTCTGATAATATTAAACACCTGGTAAGCACAGTACCCAAGGGACCCCGTGCTGCCGTGTTTGACCTGTGACCTCCGGCAGTGAAGTTCGGCCCTTGTGATCCACTTGGATGCAGACAAGAAAGCTATTCTGAAGGAAAACACCTGCTTGCGAGGGCTGACCCCAAGCCAGTGCATGGCTGAAAAAAGTCAGCTGGGTAGAAAGAGACCAGAGCCCCATGCAGGTGTTTCCTACAGCACCACACACCTAAAAAACAAGGAAAAAATAAAGGATAATGTGGGTAACAGTTAAGCACTCTCTCACCTGTTTATTTGGGTTAGTGTTACTCGAGCTTCTCCCGGTGGATGCCAAGGAAATGAAGAAGAACTTAGTGGTTCTGCATTTCTGAGGCTCCAAGGACTAAGATTTGGCCACCAGAGAACCATATCTTGGTGGACTTCCATGAGACTTGCAGCTATAGCAAGAGACAAATCTGAAGGCCTCATCCTTTCTTTCCTACCCATAGCCTTTGCTGCAGTTTCCATGTTCAGAAAAAAAAACAAAACAAAAAATAAAAAACAGTGGATGGCTTCTTCTTTGGGAGGGTCTTTTTGGCTCTTGTTTTCCTGTTATTGAGATGCCCTTTCAAATAATATACCTCTATTTTAGAAATGCATTTTAAATTAAGGGTTAAAAGCACCAAAACCAGAACCTCTTGTTAGGAAAGAGGAAGATGAAAAACCTTCACTTTCTGAGTTAAGGTTTTTACAGCAATTCATTTTATGCAACATGATAATGTCTCTTTTTAAGTAGAGAGGGCCCTACTTTCAGTCAGGTTTTTTTTTAGTCAAATGCTATATTACTTATTTTTGTCAGCAGGCATGCACAGTGACAGGGAAATGAGTGGAAAACTTTTAACCTATCTCTTTATTTCTTATGTGAGTATCACAAAATAAGATGACAGGGATGGAAACCTAACCCTTTTGAAATTCTTGTGTTAATTTCTTCATACACTTTTCTCCAAGGTCACTGTTCCATGAGGAACCTGAATGTCTCTGAGTCACACAGCCAAGGGCTGTCAATACACCTCCATTCACCTGATGAGAGCACCATCAGCTGCCATCAATAAAACCCTTCTAACTCCCAACAGCCCCAGACCCTGGAACTCTGAGATATTAAACAGCCAAATGGTCCAATCCTGGACCATTTAAAAAGAGCTGGGTGGCAGTAGTAGAGGGAAAGGAAAATCCTTCTGCAAGAAAAATTCAGCTCTGACTTGACAGAATTCTTTTCAGCTTGGCTTTTTATAGCCCTCAGATGTGAATTGCTTTCCTTCTCTCTGCCAAAGGCAGGGTTTGTATGCCTGTCCCAGATATGTGGGGGCAGTGTGCCTTGCTCAACTAGTCTCATTAATACAACTGGATAAAAAAAAAAAAAAAGAAAAAAGGAAGAAAGGAAGGAAAGAGAGAAAGAAAAAAAAAAAGTAAGAAAGAAGGAATTATTGGCAAGCAGAACGGTACTAGCAATTTGCCTTCATCTTTTGCCCAGCATCTTGAGTCTGATAAAGACCAACATCTGAAAACAATCATTGAACCATATTAGAGGTTTTTTTTCCAAGTCATATCAAACTACAGTGTAATAACGAGACATTTACTCTGCAGTATTTTAGGGTTTAAACAATTTGCAATCTACTTCCAAGATGACTGAGATGGAAGCAGGAAGAACACAAGTTCTTTAAGTAACTTCCTCACTGTTCCCTAGTCATACACTGGGAACACTTGACACCGAATTGCATTCATCCTGCTGGAAGTAAATGCAAGTCATCACTTCGCATAAGGCTCTTGGTATGATTTCTGCCAGGGCTGATAACAATGTCCTATCGCTGATGAGCCTCTGTCAGTTTCATTTAGCAGTGAGAATGTCAAATTGTCAAGTGTTTTTAAGAGTGGAAGGTGAGAGACAACCAGTACCAATTTCACTTGGAGCCAGAGGGCTGAATCCCCCCCACATGTCCTCACTATACAGGGTAACTCAATGTGATGGGAGGCTGTAGCCACTGGAAAAACAGTGAAGACATTTTTTAAGATTACGCTCCTGGGAGTGTAAAAGGACAGTATCTTTGCTTATTCTTTAGAGAAACTCCAGGCTGTCTCTAACAACAGCATAAAAATTAAATTAAATCCAGACATTAGACCTGAATTTCCCTAGTCCATCTGTAAGTCCTCTGTTCTTCAGGGACTTCCTTCTGCCTGCCTGTAGCACTCCTATTGCTTTAGCTTCTCTACCATTCCTAAATAGTGGTGCACAGTCATTACCCCATACAGACAGAAGGAAATCTGTCCTGTAAAGACTCACAATAGGTAATCAGGCTGCTTATGCTGTGCTCACACAGTAAAGCACTGACAGTGCAGCCCAAGCCCTAGCAGACAAAAGACCACTTTGCATCACTGTCTCCGGTAAGGCTTCCTAGGCTGAATGAGCAGAGGGAGTTAAATTTATCTCAGCTGCATTCCACCAAGGTCCCCTGTACTTCTTGCCAACAGAGAAAGCACGGTGCCTCTGAGGTTCCTGATAATTTAAATAGCCAGAAAAACACCTCAAACAAGAGGTTTGCCTAGAAGAAATATTAAGAATTTAGGCTTGGAATTTAGGACTGCTGAGAGTAACCTGCATCTTTTTGCATCTCTCTGGGAAGTTTTTCAGGCTGAGCTTGGTATGGAAGCCAGTCTTCTACAGGTCACCTTCTTAGAGTTTTACAGCCAGGAGACATGTCACCTTTAAGGACTATTAGCTTGGTGGCTTTCCCTAGAATATGAACACCAAACACTTCAGAAAAATACCACCATAAAGACAGATTTCCTCTTTATTAAATTTTGTCTTCTGGTTTAAGCTCAAGTAATTAACTTTCCACACTGTCTGTTTTAATAGCTTCCTCTTCCACTCTCCTCCATCAGCTGCCTCTTCTAAACCCTCTCTGCATGAGCAGAGCACTACAGAACACAAGACATTTCACTGATACAGTCCCAGGACTATCCTTTTATTTCCCATGTGCTGGATACCTGTTTAGTTTCACCACTGCATCTCTTCTCATGCATGTTATCCCATGGCATTGTCCACAAGGCAATCTGAGTTTCCAGCTGAGAACTAATCTTAGCAGGAGCTTTTCAATAAAGTTTTATTCACTGTTTTGCAGTCTGAAATAATTACTACTGTCTCCCAATTTCTAGGTGTTAATGACAATTTTGTGAGAGGGGAAGGAGTAAATCATAAAGAGGCTGTGTTTTCTCTTTCCTTAACATCTGTCTCAAGCACTCGGCCTAAAGTGTTCTATTGAATTTAGGAAGGGTTATTTATTTATTTTAAATTGATTTTTTTTTCCTCTTTCATTGCTCTCATGAGTGAAATAGAAAAGGAAAGCAGCTGTTTGAGATAAAATCATCCTGCACAACAGACACCTGGTAATGAGACTATCCAAGTTGTTAACAGTAAGGACAAAAATGAACAGAGAATTTTAGAAAATATGTCTGTCTTTCTTTTGGTCTTGGGCATATGCTACCTTCTAATTAATGTAGGTAAGGGATTTTTCCTCACTGCAAAGGTAAATTTTTCCAAAGATGCTTAATGCAGTCATTAACGAAGCAACAGGTTTAAGAGACAGAGCTGAAGTGCAGTGAGTCATTTAGTTTGGTACAGCAAAGCTATGCTTACCTTGCATAGCTAAGTGTTCTCTAAAGAGTTTAAAGGTGCAGCATTTCCATATTGTGCTACACCATCTGGATCAGGCTTGGAGCAGACAATGCACAATTTAAAATACTGGTCCTATGATACTCAAGAAAGAATAGATTTATGCTAGCATAAAGGGATTGCCATAAGGATTATTTCCTCTATCATGTCCTTTAGAATATCATCCTGATTTTCTAACATTGGGGTTTCTTCTCTACTCCACCTATAAGAAATCTGTACTTTGACAAATTAAGAAGAAGTGGGACACAACTACAAAGATGGTGAGACAGTCTTAATTCCACTGTTAAAACATGTTCTGAAAGAACAAACAAAAGAAAAAATCATCGATAGACCTTGGAAAGAAAAGCAGCACCTCTCCAGTTGCTCTCTAATCAGTCCCAGGTACAGATTTATTATGGGCTAAGAAGGAAAGCAGAATTACTTTTTACTACTGCCTGCCAAATGCATAATTGTAGCTGTTTAGGAAAGAATGTTCTCCTTTTCCCAGCTTGTTGGAGTGGTAAATTACTCTTTACTTAGTTTTGTGGAAAAACACATTCTCTCTGGAAAGTAAACCTGATACTATACATACTTTGATTTTTACGCCCTTTCTATTAAACAAGTTTAGCTGAGTAATATGTGATCTGCTTTGGTACTACACATGTGTATAATAAAAAAAAAGCCTGACACAGTTCTCCACATAACATGCAGTATTTTAAATGCTGTCTTATTCAGACAACTGGTGATGAATTCTCAAAAGCTCTTACCTGCCATTCTGGAAAGGTTCACTAAAACAACCCTGTAAAAGGCAAAGAGAAAAAGAAGGAAAAAAGAAGCTGCATAAATTATTGTAGCCCTGGGGCAGTGTGTGAGTTTTACAGGGCTATTTATTTTGCTTTTCAATAAAAATGTGTAATAGACCCACTGGACCTATTACTTGCCCACTGGACCCATTACCTCTATTGAATAAGGGTAGCATAGCTTAAAGAGAGGGGTGATTGGCAGCCAAGCTTTCTCCAGTCCATCCAGGGCTGCAGCTCCTGCTAGCCTGCTTCTCACCTTCCCCACAGTGAGACAATGCAAAAACAGACAGAGAGGCTGCAGGAAGCCCTGGTGTTAGAGTGGCAGCAGAAAAGGACATTATGGCCATGAAGGAAAGCAGGTGTGAGCTTTTTGTTGTTCAGCCAAGCATCTTCACGAATTGAAGTTGTTTAACAGGACAGGTCTGGCCAGGCAGAGCTGCAGCTGAGACAAGACATCCTCACTTAGGAAGGAATTAATGGTAATCTGTCCTTCCTGAGGTATTGATCTAGCAAGGTGCTGAGCACCAGGACCCCAGCCTGGCCAAGCACAAAGTACAGGCTTATGTACGTGGAGTTTGGCACATACAGAAGTGCTCTCCAGCTAAATCTTTCCATGTTTTTCAAACTCTGATTACATTCTTGTCACAGTGGTCAGTACTTTTGAAGCTTAAACACATTTTACACAAATATTCAGACTTCATGCAATTGTTGATAATTAATGTCCATTAACACAAAATTTAGAAAAAACCTATTTAATACGACAATTATAAACAAAATATTTCCTATTAGTTAAAGTCTCTTTGTGTTGGTGTGAATTGATACAGAGATATCACCAAACTTTGCCTGTATTCTTGCCAAGTCTGATATGTGGCAGGAATGTGAAAGTATTCAGCAGTTTCCCAGGGAAGGTCCACAGAATTACAGCATTCTTAGAAGAAAATGAATAAAAGAAAACTTACGACATCACTAGAAAAATTTCTACAAAATTTATTCCAGTCAAAATAGCTCTCACACTCCATGAATTCAGAAGGTTTGTGTGTATTTCTCCTGCGAGAAAAAGACAAAATAAATTGTAATAACATAAATTCTTAGCGCAAAATGAAAAAATAGAAGGAAAAGTTGTTAGGTTTTGGGTTTTTTTCATTTTTTTCAGTTGATTTGTTTGGGTGTTTTTTTAAAACTTATTTTTTTTTAAGTTATGTCTGGCCCATCAAGGATGCATTTACTTAAATATAATACCAAAATCTATCAAAGTGTCCATAAAAGACAGTATTATGTAATTCAACACCGACTCTTATGAAATTTTTAGTGTGTGCAGACTTCAAAAACTCCTTAAAAAAAAAAAGTAGTATTCTTATTTGTGCTCTATAGTTGTGAAAACTGATGAGAAATGGTTTACTTGTCCAAGGAGCTATTGCCAGTCATAGGAATTGAAGTGTTAGAGAACTGTTCCTTCAGCACATGGAGATAGCAGTTCCATTGCTGTTGCAAAGAGTTCAGCAGATTTGCTTCAGTTTGCAGTGCTGAAGATTTTCCAAAATCCCTCTCTGGAGGGATTTTTTCTGGCTCCCTCTCTGGAGCCAGAATCCCTAGTTCACTGTGTTTAAAGCCCACCAAGAAACTCTTGGTAGTTTTGTATGAAGGTACCTCATATCTTGATCTGCAGAGTTGTGTCAAGCCATAATGGTGTCCTCACATCTCAGCCACTCCCCCTGCTACCTGTACCTTCCTCAGTCTGTGCTGCATCAAACAAGAACCTTACAATGCCAGGCTTGAAGCCTTCCTAAATCCTCATTGCTGCCAACTTTGTTCTCATGTACCAAAACCAATTTCAAAGCAGTGAGGTGCACCCCTGGCCAGTACTTCTATGAAGGAAGAGTCCTCTCATATCTATTTGGCATCTTCCCCGAAAGGAGTTCTGCTCAAGGCTTTTAAAGCATAAAATAAATGGCCTTGAGCTTCCAGAAATGGCAAATGGAGCTCCTAGGCTTTCTTTTGAGGCCACAGGAAACATGGTCAATTCCCATCGGAGCACATGTCCATGTAGCATACTTTTTCTACCATTTTAACTCAGCCTCTAATCCTCCTTTTTAAAACATTTAGTAGTAGTAGTAGTAGTAGTAGTAGTAGTAGTAGTAGTAGTAGTACTACTACTACTACTAATAATAATAATAATAAAAAAAATAATAAATAGCTCTAGAATACTGGTATATATGCATGTTGGAACTGATATTTTGTATGATTTCACATGGGAAAAAAGAAATCTAGATTAGAAGTTTTCTAGTTTAGAATTTTCTAGATTGTTTCTGGAAAATCTGTGAACAACAAGTAGAAATGTGAAATGCACTTAGATATTTGCTTTCTATCTGTTTTCAGTGCATAAAGCAATCAAAGGAGGGATATTTCTATTTAAGTTCTAGGTAGGTTGCCAATGGTGATTTGTACTTTAATCTTTTTAATTTTTGGTTGTTTTCGTCTCTATAAAAAATTATGAAGATTGGATGTAGCATGAGCATGAAGCAGAGGATAAACTGGAATGAAATTCAGTCCCTGGGCTGGAGTCTAAAGCTGTAAAACAATCCTTCCCAGCCACTGTCTTGGCCCATAAATTGGGAATGAAGCCACTGAACTTTCTATTCCTTTTTAAGGGCAGTGAGAATCACTCACATGTAGCTGCCAAACCAGAGCATTTTTTTAAAAAAAATGCTGGCTCAGCCTGAACTAAATTAAACAGGTTTCTTCTTAAAGAAATGAGAAATAATAATAAAAAATAGTGTTTGGGTGAACTGGGAACAGAACACTTCATTTAGAGACACTGCAAGTAACAGTAAATTAAGCAAAGAGACAGGTCTCAGAAGGAGAGAGATGGTTCACTTCTTTTATCCAAGAGCCCAGTAGTTAAAGCACCATATAAGACACAGGAGACATGCATTCCACACCACTTGTGAGAATTGAATGTATAGCCTAACTCCCAGTTTACAGCTACTTCTACCATCTGTTAATCTCATTTTCCAAAATGAAGGATATTTTATGGAACTGCACAAGGGCCATGGGGAAGAAGGGACTCAGTGAATCAGACAATCAGACAACCAACCGCATTGACTGAAAGGACCTCAAAAGTTCTCTGGGCCCACCTTCTATTCAAAGAAGGTCTATTCAAATCAGGTTGTGCAGGACAATGTCCAGTTTAATCTTGAACAACTCCAAGGGCAGAGATCCCACAGATTCACTGGATAACCTTGTCCTGTGTTTGACCAACCTCATGTTTGATCAAAAAACAGTGTCTTACATCAAGAATATTTGTATTTTCATGCGTTTCAAACAGTGCCATTTGCACTCCTGTCCTAGCCCTACACACATCTGAAAAGAGTTTGGCTTTTCTTCTTGCTGGGTAGCTGTAGATAGAAAATAGATCCCTCTGAAAACTCTTCTCCAGGATTAGCAGACCCAACTGCCCCAGCCTTTACTCATATGGAATGGAGTTTGCTATGTGGACTGGGAAACCACAAACTGGGCACAATATTTCACACATACCAGACAGATGGGAAAGATCATTTTCTCCACCTTTGACTAGGTAAGGAAAGAGCCAGCACAGCGCAGCATGCCCCAGACGCTCTCCAAGGGCACATTTCTGGAACATGCTTGATTTATCCTCCAGAATCCTTTTCTCTAAAGGTGATATCCTAGGTGGTAATTACTGACAGTCCAGGTGTCAAAAAATGCTAGACAAACAGCTATTATATGCACAGTAAATCTGTGGATATGTGGTTGTTCAAACTGGAAGTCAATCCCATAATCTCACACAACGAGGCTGTGAAAGCTGTGACAGTTCCTCACAACAACCTTCTCCCTAAACTGGAGAAAAAGGATTTGATTGGTGGACTGTTCAATGAGGATAGGGAATTGGTTGGACAGCTGCATCCAGAGGGTAGTGGTTAATGGTTCACAGTGCCAATGGACATTAGTGACAAGTGGTGTTCCTCAGGAGCCTGTACTAGGACCAGTGTTATTTAATATCTTCATCAGTGACACAAAGGGATCAAGTCCCTCCTCAGCAAACTTGAGGGTGACGCCAAGCTGAGTGGTGCTGCTACCACACCTGAAGGATGGGATGGCATCCAGAGGGACCTGAACAAGAAGTGGGCCCACAGGAATCTCATGAGGATTAACAAGGCCAAGTGCAAGGAATGGCACCTGGGCCAGGGCAACCTGCGGTATCAACACAGGCTGGGGCATGGACAGATTGAGAACAGCCCTGCTGAGAAGGACTTGGGGGTGCTGGTGGGTGAGAGACTGGACATGACCCAGCAATGTGCACTCACAGCCCAGAAAGCCAATTAAAATCCTGGGTTGCATCCAAAGCAGTGTGGCCAGCAGGGCAAGGGAAGGGATTCTGCCCCTCTGCTCTGTCTCTGGTGAGACCCCAGCCGCAGTGCTGCATCAGCTCTGCAGTTCCCAGCACAAGAAGGACATGGACCTGCTGGAGCAAGTCCAGAGGAGGGCCATCAAGATGATTAGTGGGATGAACCACCTCTTCTAGGAGGAAAGGCAGAGGGAATTAGGACTCTTCAGCCTGGAAAAGAGAAGGCTTTGGGGGGACTTAATAGTGGTCTTTCAGTACCTGAAGGGAGTCTAAGGAACAGAGAGGGACATTTTATGAGAGCATGTAGTGACAGGACCAGGGGTAATGGATTCAAACAGAAAGAGAGTAGGTTTAGATGAAACATTAGAAAAAACACCTTTGCTAAGAGGATGATGAAGTGCTGAAAGAGGTAGCCCATAGAAAGTGTGTATGCCCCCTCCCTGGAAGTCTTCAAGGCCAGGTTGGATGGGGCTCTGAGCAACTAGGTGTAGTGATAGGTGTCCCTGCCTATGGGAGAGGGGTTTGAACTAGATGATCTTAAAGGAGCCTTCCTACCTGAACCTGAGTCTATAATTTTATTTTCTGGTGAAAAGCTTGGAATCCTTAAGTGGCCATCACCTTATTGTCCTCTGGTATGTGTTACTGATTAACATAATAATGGAATTACATTAGTTTTGCAATGAGAAGAAAAGGTTTTTTGATTGCTTATTTGGCAGTGGTAGGATGGGAGTGGTGGAATATTTGGGATTGGTTAAGATTAACCAAACATTAGTACCTCTAAAGAGAAGAATGCTATAATCTTTAAAAACATATCATGAATGGTGTTACAGAGGATCTCCATACAAGCCAAGGAAATTGTGTGGCACCTAATGACATTTGTTCAGTGAGCTTCCCACAAAAAGTGACTGACACCACTACAAATTGCTTCACCATTTCAGCTCAGTAACAAA